GATCTATAAATATGATTACAAAACAATGATAACGTACAATAATATCTATATATTTCACTAAAAATCTATTAGTGATATTTTGACTAATTAATAGTTATTATATAATCTAAGATGACTATTCTTATGTCTTCACACTACTCATTTTAATAGTTAATAAAAATGATAAAAATTGTATTATCAACAGAGACCTGGAAGATTGATGCAGCTGTCAATGAACAACACACATAATTTATTTTGTATTGTTACAATACACACATAACATTATGTAAATTCAATAAATTCTAAATACCGAGTGTACAGAGGATTATTAACTATAAATAACTGTCTATTAATGCAAAAAACCTGTATAAGTAATATAATATAGATGACTGATGTGCATGAATGTTTTACTTTAACAGTCTCAGTGAACTGGTGACTTCTTTTGTCAAACTGGAGGGATATATTGAGACTCGCCAGTATATACATTCAAGAATTAAAGTATTAACTTTATTTGGGTCGAGTTTTCTTATTACATTAATTAATTTTTATGTGATTAATATCATTATTATTATAATTATTATAGTCTTTTTTTTTTAAATATATATTTACAATCTGGATCAAATGTATACAATAAGGAAATGCATAAATACATTACGAATATTAAAATTACATGACATTATTTACGTGAGGAGGGAGACTATCTATTGATAGAACCTTTCAGAGCCTGATTTTAATTAATTAAGGAGGTCTCTACACCATCGTCTTTTGAGGCGTCATGGAGGGAATTATTATAGTTAAAAATATTACTTGTGTAACATGTAAGTACCAACCTACAAATTTTTAACTTTAAATTAAACACGTATTCTATTTAGGTAACATGCAAAAAATACATATTGTGAAAGTATCAATATCAATTATTACTGACTTTAATTTTTTTATATTGGCATCGTTAAGATAAATTGTATGATGAATAGAGCAGTTTGAAGAATGTGTAAGCTGTACTCTAAATGCTAACAATAAATAATAACGATTAATAACACAAACCATATTTAATAAAAATAATGTTACTTACAAATGGATTTTAATTAATATGAAGTATGTTAGGTACCTTGAGTAGTATAAATTTTACACATTTTAGGAGGTTTAAAAAATTCACTAGTTAATATGGTAATACCTATTGTGTACCTATTTATTACTATTGTGTAGAAATAAAAACAAATTCTCTTTGTCTATGTTTGATTATTATATAAATATAATATAAAAAAATAATAATATTAGTGATTACTAAGATATTACATAATTTTAATTTTAAATTCTTAAAGTTAGTATGTTATCCAGTCGGCATTAGGTCAGGTCATGGCCTGATTGACCTGACCCGTAGTTTTGCTTATGCCTGTGTGATTAATATATTTTTAAATATTGTACTATACTAGGTCATATTTAACTACTGTTATTTTATTAAGTTCCTGTAGATATAGGTACATCATATATAATTTATATACCTATCAAATTATCAAGTTAATTATAGTCTTAAATCAAACAATAGTGCATGTAACATCAAATAATTTAAATAATTTTGCTGTAAAAAATGAACCTGTTGATGATTCTCTCAAAGTATTTCAAAAATTGACCGATTAATATTAATGAAGATTACATAACATATTTCATAATGTATTTAGTGTTCTAAAAATTGGAGTAGTATTATTAATTTTCAGTGAATTGCCAAAATGTACCTATTCAAAGCTCTAGTATATAAAAAAATAGGTACCTACATCATGGTTCGGAATCACATCAGAGATCTAATGATAATTTTATATAAATCTCATATAAAAACTGATACAACAAATTTATTGAGCACTTTGCCATGAGATTTTCATTTTTAAAAATAGCTGTTACTCATTAAAATATAAAAATACTTTTAATACTATAATATGTTATTAATTATCAAGTACCTTATCAAGTATCTACACATTATTATAACTCATCAACTTTAATTTAGCACTTGGAAACCTTTACAATTTGAAAAAAATAATCCAAAAACTATATACCTAAGGTATATTGAAAATAATATAGATTTTGGACCACTGTTTATATAAACAGAAGAATATTCTATTTTCTAAAAGTTACAAGATTCGTACTTTTTGCTACATGTAATTATAACACAAAGTTGTTAATTATCTTTATAAATATATAAAGTACCTATACTGATATATTTATTCTTTATTTTATAATTATTATAATTATATACAGGGTGATTCACCAAGCATGCTTAATGCTTACCCCCATTTTTACTTATAATAATGAATTTATTCAAATTCTGATTTTTGGAATTTTTGAATATTCTCAAAGACCATATTTTCAAATTCTTGAATTTCTTTGTACTACTTAAGGAGTTTCCTGTGGTGATATAAACTTCTATTTTTCAAATTAGAAATCCTCCCCCTCCCCCACCTCACACTTTTACTATACACTAATTAGTGATTAATTTTTTTGAAAATTTTTGATGTTACCCATTCAAAACTTCTTAGTTAAAGTTTAAAGTCTAAGTTTCTTAGTTATTAAAATGGTTGTATTAAAGTTAATAGCCCTTAAAAGTTAAAACTGGTTTTACATAAATATAAAATAGACTTACAATAGGATCTAGTATTTATTATACTTTGGCCATTTTTACAAGCTAAAGATAGATTAATATTAATGACTACAATTTTCAAATCACCATAGCCGCTGTGGCTGTATCTTATAAACTCATTACTATGGACCATTTATCCTTAGAACACAATGTTGAATAACTCAAAAACTACTCATACAAATTTTGATTTTGTTACGTCAAAAATTTCAGAAAATTTACCTACTGTATAACTTATAGTTGATTGGGGAGTGTTTTCATCCCTGTTTTCATTTGAAAAACAGAAGTTTGTATCTCCACAGGACACTCCTCAAGATGAACAAAAAATCTCAAGTATTTGAAAATATGGTCACAAAGTACATAAAAAAATGTGAAACATCAAATTTTGAATAGGTAACTGTATTATTAAAGAAAAAAGGAGGTGAGCATGCTTTGTGAATTATCCTGTATATTTATTTTAACCATTTATTTTGTCTAGGTACCTAAGTAACATAATATACAAACTTCAATTACTGGTTTCAATATTATCTGTGTAAAAACCTAAAAAGAGATCCAATTACATGATTAACAGTCTTTAAAAAAATATTAGATGTATTCCAACAACCTATACAATATGCAGTGTTGCGGTGTCGGTCAGGCTCATAGTTGAGCCTTTGGCCCAGTAATTTTAAATGAGTCCTAGTTGAAAATGCCCCATACATTGCAATAAAACTATTTTATTTTAAGTTGAAACATTTTTTATTTTTTTAAATAATTTATTATTATATATGTATAATAAAACATTGAAATTGTAAACATAAAATTTTAAAAAAATGTACCTCAACGTAAAACAAAATTTGATAAATATAAATGACGTAGGGTCAATAACGTTAATTAAATAAATTATAAATTATTACAAAGATAGTAGTTCTTGTAATTTATTTCTAAAAGATCCTAACATATTAATAATTTAATTGTTATTTATAAACTGAGTACTATCTTCTTCTACAGAAAAGTGCAGACAAATTAAAAGATCCAGTTCCGGATCTTGCAGTGTTGGTTTATCAAAAATATAAGTATGTTTTTAAAATTTTAAGTTTTAACAGTACTTGTTCATACTTACTTGAGGATAAGAGTGTATTTGAATGGTATGCACAATGTATTGAATAAATCAAACTTTTTCACGAATTCAAAAAATCAAAAATTATTTTAAATGTCTTAGACACAAATCATAAGAGATTTAAACATATATTTTCCTACTTGGCTATGTGCCTCCACTCCCCAATATTGAAAAATATCCAAGGGCCCCCAATAATCACCGGGTAACCGAGTGTGAAAGACCGACTCTATGCCTATATGTATTAAGGTACCACTATTATAGATTCCCAAATATTTACTATTATCAAACTACTAGAGATAATACTACTATTTGGTTTGGTAATAATAATAATTATTATACTACCTATCAGTTATCAGTTGTTTAGTATTTACTATTTACATAATAATATGTTTGTTTATGTACATTGTACATACATGGGCTATTGACTTGTTGTAGCAATATTAAATTATACTTGTCACATGCATAAATACATTATAATAGTAATGAAATGTTATCATTAAAGTTGTTGTTAGGTGCTATTTTCTTGCACATATCTTATGTAGCTATATTATAAATTATAGTATGTTAAAATGAAAATTTGATAATTGACAAGACATTGTAGATATTTATGTTTGGCAACAAATTAATATTAAAACATAGCCTTTAACATGGGCATTTGTTGTCTGTCTTAAAAAAATACTACATGGCAAAATGTATGTTAGATAGATTGCTGGTATTTGGCTGGTACTTATTATTAGTAGGTACAATTTGAAAATTAAAGAAAACATAATAATACCGAAGTAAATACCTACCTTAAGTAAGTATTTGAACCACAGTTAGAAGTAGGTACCATTTACCAATTATTAATATAATAATTGGAAGCATATTAAACAGGACAAATTTACCATAATAGTTTGAGTTAATGAGTTATGGAATGATATTAAACTGGATGAATTTACAATATTAAAGTAAACAGTAAACATTAGATACCTATGTTGACAATGTCACGTACAAAAGAAAATGGAAAAAAAATACCATATTGAGATTGAGCAAATGAATCTCTTAAATTAAAGTATGGTCATCACAGTAACAGAGAACTCTTATATAAATATATGACAAACTACTCAACTCTTATTGCTTATGAAACACATAACTGAGGATTAAAAATATTGCTGACGTGGTGTACAAATATGCGAACATTAAAAGACTCTCGACACAGATCATCGATATAATGTCATTGCATACACACCTTATGAAGAGTTTGACTTAGCATTCTTACGATAGTATGCACTTTGCGATGAGTACAAAACGTCTTACCTCGTTCGGTGCCGTCCATGGTCGATCAATGGAGATTACGGTAGCCAGGTGACAGGGGTGACAATGACAGGCTGCTGAGTGGTGCTTGGATGATGTCCCCGGAGACAAGGGTATCGCTGTCCCGGAGTTCTTATCGGCCGTGCGCGGATGTAAAACAATATTATTATGAAGTCGAAACAATATTATTATTATTATTATTATTTTTATTATTATTATTATTATTATTACTATTACTATTATTATTACTATTATTATTATTATTATTATTGTTTTGGAATGGACGGGGGGAGAGCGGACGGCCGGACGAGCGCGCGCGCGCTTAGGAAAACACACACAAGAAAACAGATAACGCCGTCGATGTGCCAAGGTTGATGAACTAGGTCATTGAGCGTTTTGGTCTTACGCACCCGAAGCCCCGAACAAGTCTCGCACGTCGAAAACGAATAACGATCGATGGGAAATTATTTTCCCTTCTGTGTTGCGGTAAACCGAAGCAGCGGCGGCGGCGGCGTCTTCGGCGGGCCCGACGACAGACGGTCCGAAAACCTAAGTTGTACGCACTCACTCACGGGGCGGGGGGGGCGGGCGGTGGGTAATCGTGGAGACTAGCGCAAGCACGAGATTGTGGCACAGCGCGGGCGGGGAGGGGGCGGCGGTTATCAATCGGTGTCGCGGCCGGAGAGACCGACCTGTCGGCTGTCGGACGGTCGTGGCCGCCGCCGAGCGGTATCATGGGCAAGCTGCAGCCGAGTGCAGCTGCTGGTATCTGGCCAGCGGTGTCGGGGCGGGGATGATCTGGTAACGCCGCGGTTGCGCAATGCGCACTGTCGATGGGAAGTGTTTTACAGCAGTAGTAGTGGCGGTCGACCCGCGGCCTGACCCCGTTCCCTCCATAGTACCACCAGACATGTTAATAATATTATATACCTACCTACATAGTAAAGCCACCACCGACGGAGTCCTATAAAGAGGATTGCCGTATTCTCGGTGACCAGTCTATCCGTACTCGACGTTTATATTCTGTAATAATGAAACATTATATTATTATTTATTATATTATACATATAATATACTACTTTAGTATGCGCCCACTTTAATATATTATAAACTAGCTGAATTACCCGGCTTCGCCCGTGTGTAGTTTTTGTTTTATCAAAATTAAATTCTTAAATCAACACAAAATGTTGTGTTTGAAAGAATTATAAATACAACAAAAATAATAATAATAATAGTTACAAATGATACTAGGTAATGATTCCAATGATTCTATACACATATTGTTATTAAAAAATGTTTCTATAATTATATATAACTTTTTTTATGAATATTTTCAAATGATACGTAGTTGCTTAATTTTAATATGGCTTAAGTCAAAACCTCTTGGTATACCACATTTAGAGTTTTATTTTGTGGTGCATAAACGTACAAATGGTCAGGTCTTCTAACTCTAGAAAATGCCACATACAATTGTCCGTGTGAGAAACAGTTATTTTCTAAATCTACACCACAATAAGTTAAAGTCTGACCTTGAGCTTTGTTTATTGTCATTGCAAAACAGACTTTTATTGGAAACTGAACTCTTCTAAACTTAACTGGAAAATCAAAAAAGGTCAAAGTCCAGGTAGACGAAAACCTTCGGACCGCCGTGCAAATTATTATTATTATTATTATTATTTATGCCAATTTCAACCCTTTAAAATCAAAATTTTGAAAATCGGACGATATAATAGGTAGATTATAGAATTTTACTTCTCAGAACAATTTTTATTTACATGCCGATCAAACACAAAGTTAGACGAACAAAAAGTTATGGTTGCATGTCGCTATGGAAACCCACAGGTCGCCAAACTGTAAAATATATATATAGATATACAAATTGCACGTAAACAATTTATTTTGACCGAATTCAACCCTTTAAAATCAAAATTTTGAAAATCGGGCGACGTGGTGACACTCACGAAGGTATTTGGAACAACTTTGTGAAAAAAAATTGGAAAAAAGTTAAATAGCGTCGTCACAAAATCGGTACATAAAAAAAGGCTGTTCTTTTATATACCTATATAAAAGAAAAAAGGATTACCTGTAGACTGCACAACTGTAGTATTTTACATGAATGTTGTGCACTTGTACTGTGCTGCTCGCCTACGGTAGGTGACCTACCCACTAATTTTCAACCCATACCGACGTACGTATCGACGAGACCGTCTGGCCGTGGCTCACGTTAAATTCATGCCGTGGTGTGTTGGGGGATAAACGGCGTATGCTAACTTTTTTTTTCGCGTAGGTATATCTATACCTACCCATTATTTAATGTACGATGATCCACGATAAACGGCCGTATGATAAAAACAAAATATCCTTCAACTTATAATTTGACTAATTCCAAACGAGACTTGGATGGTATTAGTGTATTTTTTTTTTATTATTTGATCTAAAGCCCGATAACCATGGCTATTGGCTGTTTGAAACAAGTATTGTAGGTATATGTGTCATGCGTGGCAAGGATTTTGTTACTAAAAAATCTCGAGTGGTCACCCACCCGAGAACCAGCAATGTTAGCCTGCGTGTACTCAGGTCTCAGGGCAAGTAAGCAGCTCAGGGTGAACACCGCACTACACAGTGCCACATTAATTTATTATAAGACATTAAGACGTAGATGTCACCGGAAAACTATAATAAGGGTTATAAACTTGTAAAAGAAATATTTTCAAAATCTTTGATTTTTTTAATATAATGCAACTCCGTATAGTATTTTTCTCAAATAAACCGGCCTGACCATGGTCGGTACACAAAATAAAACTTACTATCTTTGATGTTTTTCTCTTATTGAGGCACCGGTTAACAGCCCGTCGTTATGAAGGACGATTTCTGACAATAAATCTATATCGAACTATCGAAGTAGTGTTTTTGAAATTTACCTCGACTAAAAATAAGAATATAAAGAACCATTAGTTAACAAGAATCTTAAGTTTAAGTACCTCTATGATTATTGATTTGATTTCACATAATAACAAACATAGCCAGTATAAGCAGTGCCGAGTTGAACATTCTGCATTTAAGAAATTCTGAATTATTGCTGCCTTACTATCACATTTTTGAAAGATAGGTACAGCAAATCTGTCTACATGATGGAAGTTTTGCATATTATTTGGATACTCTACCCAAAACTAAAACAATTGACGGTTACATTTTATACATATTATCATCGATGTTAAAAACTTAAATATGACTATAGTGGTACTAAATCATTATGAAGAAAACTTGTTATGAACAATATGTTTTTAATCAACACTGAACTGTCTTAACTCATATTTTTTATAGTTTCTATATGTAGTGTTGTAGTACTATTATTATTCAAGTATTACATAAAAATAATAATTCACAAGATGTTGCCGTTTGGACTTTGGGACTTGGGTAAAATTATGTTTATATTGTCATAACAATTTAGTTAATATAAATAGTTGACCGAACTCACAATGATGTTTATAATCCTGCCCAAACGGCCGAGCCCGACAAACCACAGTATAATATTATTATTATTCAACAAACCACGGTCCACGGACATAACAAACTATGTGTTTTTCCTTATCACAAGACCATTGATAATTAACGAAATAACGCAATAAAAAATTGTAAAAATGTTGTAAAAAAGCCAAAACTGTAACAAATGCATGAAAATAATTTATTTCACAATTATAAACATTAGTAGCTACACGCATACTAGTACGCAAAACAAATTACATATTATGAAAAGTCATTGTGTGAAAAAAATGTAATAATATATTTTAAAAGTTTCTAGGTACCCACAAATAATATTTTTAAATGACAATAAAATAACTTAAATCATTAAGTAGGTATTCTTGGTTATTTAACAATATGTAATTTCATCCAAATTTTAACATAAAATAACTATAAAAAAAACTGTATTTATATATTTTTTAGATTTTTGGTTACATAATTAACTACTTTTGGCCTAACCTATAATGTAACCTAACATTTAAGCTTTTGATCTTTAGCTAGAAAAGTTGATCATTTTATAAATATTCAATAACAAAACAATTTGTACATTTTCAATTTAATAAATGTTGTGAACATATTATGAACAGTAAATGCTTATAAAACAAAATCGTACCTATGTATTTTTAATATTTTCCAACTGATATTGTAACAATAGATCAGTGGCTTTTTAATAAAATTTTCAAAGATTTTGACCCAATAAATAAATTTTTATTGACATTTATAGAAAAAAAAAACAAAAAAATTGAAAATTAAAAACGTCCGTAAACAGCTCAAAACGAGTCAAAATTATTTAGAAAGTCTTATGTATATGAATTGATAAAATAAATATATGGAGTAAATTTCAAGTATCTGCAGTCATTTGTTTTTTAATTACATAAAAATAAAAAACTCGGTATATGAGATATCGAGTCTAATATCCGATGTTGAATAAATTTCAACTTCATACATTCATAAAAAATTTATTTGACTTTCTGGTAGAAGTTTTTTTTTTTTGGTAAAGGTAGACAAACTTATAAGAAATCTTGTGTTAAATTTTAAAATCTTAGCTATAAAAAGAAACATTTTTATGAATTTCTGGCTCAAAATAATTTGTACATTTTATCAAAATTCTAACTTCAGATGCTTATAAAAAATAATTTAAAAATGAAGCTTAATTTTTTTTTTCATTTAACATATCTAAAATAACTTATGAATTGCCGCGTATTACATTTTCAAGTATTTTTAACGACTGATTTTTTATTGAAAATAATTAAAAGTACTATTAACTAATGTCTAATACAAATCGAAAATTTCTTATGCCTTTAAATGGTTGAAAAGGAGTCAAAATATTTTGAAAATGTTATCATATTGTATAAAAAATCTAAGATAAATATTTTGAAAAAATGTCAAGTACCTATCTATTATAGTCATTTGTTTTTGAGTTACAATAACGTAAAAGGTCGTTCGATTGGAAATGTTTAGATGTGATATCCAATGACGTTACAATTTTAACTTATGATGAAATATTATAGGTATAGTCACTAATAAATAATAATATGACTACTATGTGACTTTCCTGTAAGATTTTTTTGTTAAAGGAAGAAAAACTAATGAGGAATCATAAATTTAACAAATCTTAAACACTTTAAGAAATATTATGCTTTTGTACTTCCGATATTTTTTAGTTGCTATACAACCAAGTTGGTGAACCTATTATATTTCATACTTTTTGACCGTGCGAAAAAATGTTTATCGAAATGTAAAGAAAAACCCCAAAAATAAGGAAAATGTCAAATGTTCATATATAGGTTACATATAAAATATAATACGATATAATATCGTACATATAATAATATTTATTTGTTGTAATAGTAATTTAAAACGGTTTCAATATTACAGCACCACCTAAAAGCTAATCTTGTGCTATTGTGCTGACTGCTAAGAGACGCGTTCATATCAACTACAACAATATAATATGTTTCAATTTTAATTTATGCAACTATTTTAAGAAAAATTAAAGTGTCTTTAATAACAATAGAATGCAGTTTTATTAAAAGCGTCTAAAATTTAA